TAGAAAAGACTCAGAATGACTGAAATGACCCAGTTTTACAAAATAAAATCACATATATTAAACAAAAATGATGATATATTAAATATCAAAACATGGTTTTCACTGGGTAATTGTGATTTTTCTTTTCCTCAGTGTTTACAGTACTGTCACATGATTTCAAGAGTATCAGTTTTGGAAAGAATAAATCTGTGCCTGGATTCCTTCCAAAGGTGGGAGCATCTGATATGATGAGGACCCAATAAAAAACAGGGAACAAGAGCTTTGTGACCAAAACCCTCATCGGGTCATTCATGCACACAAGATGCAACACACTGTACTAGCCGGGCCACACATTTAGCATACTAGAAGGACATTCTTGGGGTGTCATCAATATACTGTGGTATGTAATCTGAATTTTTTTTATGTGTGTATGTTTCTGTGTGTATGCGCTCGTGCTCATGCGTGTGTGCTTGCCACAAAAACCTGGCAACCTGAGTTCAATACCCCAAACCAACATAAAGTAGAGAGCCTAACCCACAAGGCTGTTTTCAGACTTCCACATGCATGTGCTGTGGCAGCCATGTCCCTCCACACACACAGGTAAGAATTTAAAATACATTAAGAACACTCTGGAAGAAGAGACAGGGCTACAGCAGGCAAATTCTGAGAGAGAGAGAGAGTTCATTCTTTTATGACAAATCAACAAGCCTAGGGCTCTGGCAGGCAAAGACACATTTACAAAGGCCAACCCTGTCTAACTGTTCACTGTCTAAACTGGGCTACGGCCACTACTCAGTCTCCTTTCCTACTCCTTCTCTAAGAGGCTGACTGTTCAGGTGGCCCACAGCTGTAGTTCCAACACTTGGAACACTGAGGCAGAAGGGTCTTCTCAAACTCAGTACAATCTAGGCCAGCCAGAGCTCTACACAGTGAGGCCCAGCCAGAGCAAATAGGCAGCTCGGGGAGCACAAAATGGAAGTTCAGTTCTTTACCTAATACTTGGCAAAGGCAATACTATGCTTTAACAAACATCCTAGGGTATTTCTGTTTTGTTTTACTGCTTTTTAATCTTCAACAATGGATGATAGCCCCTGGTAGTAAAGGGTTTGTAAATTAACATAATAAACATTAGGGTGGGTTTCCACTAAAGAAAACCTCAATGATCAAGAAATATTATCTTGGCTAGGCAATGGTGGCTTCCCAGCACTTGGGAAGCAGAGACAGGCAAATCTCTGAGTCAGAAGCCAGCCTGGTCCACAGAGCAAGTTCCAGGACAGCCAGAGCTATCCTGAGAAACCCTGTCTTGAGAAAAAGAGGAGGAGTGGGGAAGGGGGGGGGGAGAAGGAAAGGAAAGGAAAGGAAGGAAGGAGGAATAAGATCTCACCTGGCATGGTGACACATGCCTTTAATTCCAGTACTCGGGAGGCAGAGCCGAACTCTTGAGTTTGAGGCTCAAGGTCCAGTCAGAATTACATGATGAGATGTATCTCATAAAAAACAAAACAAAACAAAACAAAATCCATAAGCCACACACCAGCAATTCCATCCCTGGAGAACTAGAGACAGGAAGATCAAAAGGTTAGGGTCACTATCAAGTCGGAAGCCAGTGTGGGTTACATTAGACCCTGTCTCAAGAAGAAAGTTGGCAGAAGGGGCGGGAGAGAAAGGGGGAAGGTGCAGGGAGAGATGAGTAGAGTATGTATTGACCTGTCTGTAAACATCTGGGCATTTCTGCCCTTGGGAAGCTGCTGCTCAGATGGGCTGAGTCTTGTCTTTGTCAATGGGAATCATAGACTGGACTTGTCCACAAAGCCCTGCTTATGTAGCAGTCACTGTTGTTAGGCAAGTTCTACCTTCTAGAAGGTGCTCACATCTGCCCTAGTGAAGTTTTCCTTCAATATGCATGTCACAGCATCAAGAAGGCAAAGAGTCACAACTTCCCTGAGCTTCAGGAAAAGCTGCAAGACCGGCAAATGGTTGCATGTGTGTGGCAGAATTTAAGTCTGTAAGTGGGTGTTTGTAGCCTGGACCAGGTATGAGGAAGAAACTAAACCTCACTCACCCTTTCCTACTGGCAGCCAGATCTACCAAGACAGCCTAATAGCTGCATATTCCCAAGTGCCTAAAGGTCGTTGAGTCTTTGTGCTGTACTAAAGAGGAAAACAAGGGACAACTCTCAAGCTGAGAAGTCAGCCAACCAATCAGTCTGTGGATCCTTTTGTTTTATTTATTTATTTATTTATTTATTTATTTATTTATTTATTTATTGTGCTTCGGTTGTCTCACCTGTGAAAGACATCGCTGTTACCTAAAATGATCATATATTTGTAAAATATATGGTGAGCACAGAAATAAATTTCTGCTATCACCATCATCATCAGCACCATGATTTTATCACAAACACTTAAACTTGCCTGTAGGAAAGCCTGACAACTCTCACTCTCAAATTGTCTTGGAGAGGCTATCTAGATTTTTTTTTTTTTTTTTAAGCATGCATCTCATTTCAATCTAACAGTATGTCACAACTCCCTTCATTCCCAACCAGCCTTTAAGTCAGAAGAGCAAGGAAGCTTTCTGTTTGTCCCTAGAGGCCTGTGTCACATACAGTGCTCTAACCCAGGAGGTACTGGGTTGCCTCTCCAGAGATCTCTGCCTCCATTAACATCCATTAGCCAACAACGAGGCAAAATCTGAGTATCAGAGTAGATAGAACAACCATGAGAAAGATGACTGGCAAGGCAAGCAGGAAATGACAAGCCACTCCTTGGAGCTTGGTGTGGTAGCACATGGCTGTAATTTCAGGAGACTGAGGCAGGAGGATCACCAGGATTTCAAGAGCATCCTAGGCTACAGGCTGAGTTCCCAGTGAGTCTGGACTAAAAAGTAAGAAAAGAGGGTATGACTCATTATGTGGGATTATAGGCTGACAATCTCCAGTCACATCTGTTGGAGAGAGTTCTCTCACCTGCTTGAAGCCAATCCAGCCCCGAACCTCCAATATATCTCAATTCTTCTCACCCAACCCTTCCAAGGCTGTTTACTATCTAGCCATGTTACAGAACTACTGGATTTATTGTTGTTGTTTACACACTGATGGAATGTGCCCCTACACTTACACACACATAGGTCATTGCCGGCAGAGATGTTTGGTTTCCTACAACATATCCTCCTCCTAACACGTAGCAGATGTTTTTAAAACAATAAGGATACAACTGGTAGACTTAGTTTCTGGTGATGCTGTGAGGTTTGAGGGTTTCACTGTGTACAGTGCTAGTGAATGAACTCAGCCAAGTGCATGCTGGGCAAGCATTCTAACACTTAGCCACATCCCCATACCCTCACATAAACTCCAGCTAGGGGGTCGACAGTCCCTCCCAGCTATATAAAATCATGTTGTGATTGGCTGCTCACTACATTGCAACCTACCACAGTGAGGCCTACAGCAGTACTGAGAAAGCAGAAATAAATATCCTGTGGGGAATGGCCAGGACTTGGTTCTTTCCTAAGTCCTACGAGGGGGGTTTTAGAAACAAGTCATAAATCCTGGCAGAATATTACTCATACCAATATATTTTTTAACTCATTTAAATTACTAACAATAATTCTCAGAGCCTGAAATCAGCCACCTGTCCTCAAAGAGCTTCAATGGGCTTCCAAGGGAGCAGAAAGGCAGATGTCCCCAAATATATGCAATTACTATACAATGAAAAGTGTTGCACTACATTGAAGAATATCACAAAAGAACAAGAATAATGAGTTTTGAGGTGCTGCTCGATGATAGAGCATTTGGCTAGCATGCACAAGCACAAGACTATGTTTCATTCCAGCATAAGGCTGGGGTGGGAGAATGTGCAATTTTCTTCAATCTTTCTGGCCCCTTTGATCTCAAAAGCTCTGGTAAAATGGAGGCCACTGGTGGGACACATTCCTTGGCTCTTTCCTTTCCTGACTTGGGGAAGGGGTTTTACTTTACCTCAAATGAAAAACCCTCAATTTCTTCATCTGAAAACACCAGCATGACTATATGCCAAGCACAGTATTAGACCTCAGAAACCAAGATGACTCCACAGGATCACCTCAAAGAGGACAGGATGGATTATTGGCCATTATAACCGGTGGGTCCAGAGACTCAGCTTAAGCCCTACAGCTGGCCTCCATTGTCCTGACGCTCAAAGTAAACAAGACCAGTCCTGCACCTCAATGCCCACCCACCGCGATGAGATTCAGGGGTTTTGTTTTTATTTTTAATAACCCATTAAAACCGAACAAAAAGACATAATCAACGTGGGGACGAACATCCAGATGGCTTGGCTTTGCCTAGTTCGCTGCTGTTTTTCTAACCCTGAAGAAGGAAGGGAAATTAGCATTAAAGGGCTAAAACCTAATAATCCTCTCCTGTTAGGAGACGCCTATAGCTTGGATATCAAGAATTTAACTAGTAAGATTACAAAACAGGTTCCAGCAAGATGAGACGCAAAGGAGGGTGTAAAAGCTCGTGCCCAGTCAGGGTTGGGTCGGGTCCGGTCTGTAAACCAAGGAAGCAGAATTGAGCCTTCCCGGAGCCCAGACTTGTGCCCGGGACTTTGCAAATACGGTTTCCAGACATTCTCATGACTACAGAGCCCACGTTCTAGACTTGGAGATGCCAACGTGCCCTGCCTGGCTGGCCTGACTCCAGTTGCATTTGGAGTGTGGAAACGGACCTTGTCCAACCCCACGCTTTTTCCTCGGTTCATCCCACAGGCAGTGCGCAGCGGCAGGAGAGCTGCGGAGCCCAGGGCCACTCACTCGAAGCTCTGCAGGAGATGACACGTCCCGGGAACCGATGGGATCCTCGGCTCCAGCCCCGCCAGCCCGGAATCCCCGAGGCCCGACGCCGAGGTGGCCTGGGTTGCCTCTCGGGATTCCCCCGCGTCCCTTCCCGCCCACGGGGTTTCCTGAATCCCAGCCCAGCGCTCGGCTCGCCACTCGCGGCCGCGTCCACGCTCCTGACAACCCGCGCGGCAGCCCGCCTCGCTCACCTGGCCAGCACAGCACCGGGCAGACATGGCCGCGGCCGACGACCTCGGGGACGCTGCCCGCTGGGCCCTCCCGGCTCAGTCGGCGAGCACGCGACTCGGAACCCGGTCGCGCTGCGGTCGCGCTGCGAGCGGAGCAGCCCAGCTGAGCGCTGGCGTTCCTCGGCCCCAAAACAACCGCCGCCAGGCCCCGCCCCGCGCCACAGGCCCCGCCCCGGACCGCCCACTTCCCAGGCCCCGCCCCTCGACAGGCCCCTCCCCCTCCGGGCGGTGCAGCGAGCTCCTTCCTCCGGCACTTCCGTCCCGGTTAGGCGGTGGGAGCCTCCGGCTGTTCCCGACCCGCCCGGTTCCACGGCGCCCTAGTGACTGTCCCTACGGGGCACCGCTGGTCCTGGGCTGCCTGCCTCTCGCTCCTCAGAGGCATCCACCAGGTCCCAGATCCGGGAGAAACACCATTTTGCCCTCCAAGCCCCTCACATGCGGGGTCCACCCATCCTCAGATTCCCAGGCGCCTGGCTGTTCCACCTGCTGTTCCGCGGAACTCTGGGGCCTCTGTCCCAGTGGTCTCGGAATCCAGGGACTCAGTTGGCGTCCTTGCTCCCTCTCACCTGACCCACACTGAAAGCACTCGGACAACTGTTGGATGTCAGGGGAGCTCCGGGTTTTTCTCTCTACCTCAGTCTCTCCCCACGGGTCACTTCAAATGTAAAGCTTTTTCTTGGTATGAATTTTATTCACACCCATCCCTTTTTTTTACTGCAAGAGTGTGTCAGATAAACATTACTGTACCCATCTGAGGAAACTGGCAGTGGAAGGCCAAGCACCTTAAAGAGCTTGCCCCGAAGTCTCGGCAACTGAAAAGGCAACGCTGGGAATGCTAGTGTCCTGTCCTCAGGCAGACAACCCAAGGCTTTATCTTCACTGGACAGACCGAGCCTTTGCCCGTAGTGTCTTGGGAAGTTTTGGAGGTACAGACTAAAGGAAAGCCTTTTGACAACCAGTGCCCAATCTTCCGTGTCTCAGATCCAGGAGTTTCGAAGCAGCCCTACTTGGAGGCCAGGAAAGTTATGAAGACAGCCGCTGTTAACTAAAAATAAAGGACACACCAAATCAAGTCAGCACAGCAACTTGCTGGGTGGCAGCCTGTGACTCAGCCAGGACCTCCACCGGCTTTACAGTGAACCTCATGTTTGCTGCAGGAAGGTCACTTGACTTAGAACTTCAGCCCCTGGGGAAACCGGTTGGACACCAGGCAGGTGTTTCTGTCTGTGGAAACCGCCCAACAGGTGTAGATGGGTGCAAAACCCGCAAACCTTTAAGCTGGGACTTAACCACTCCTTTAGGAGAATCCTCGACAAATATCAATTGGTTAGGTTCAGGGCTTCCCATCACAGTCCTTTCTTGGTTGTTTGTCAGACCAAAGCTAGAATTCACAGCATGGAAATCTGTGTCCTGGAAAGCCACTGGCCTCATAGCAGCCAGGGTGGGCAGAGACAGACATGAAGGCCCAGAGCCCCACTTGGGCCCCAAAGATCCAACTTTCTTCTGGTAAGTCCCACCCCATCTCAGTTATACCACAGGCTGGCCCAACCATAAGTAAGTGTTCAGGTAACCCTTCCCTCGGGAGACGCTCAGCTGTGCGACTCAGACAGGTGCACAGGTCAAGATGGCAAATGTGTGGTTTGGAAAGGCAGACCTGGAGGTGGGGCTGGGATTGGAGCTGAGTGGTAAAACACTTACCCAGCATGAGTGAGTTCCTCCCCCAATATGCCAACAATAATAAATAGCCTGTGAACATGTCAGATGTACACCAGGGTACCAAAAAAACCAACCACCAACAAACAAAAAACATTAACAAAAGCCTCAGCTTCCCAGAGTCTGAGCAAATTGTAACTTCACTAAGAACAGGCTGGATAACATCACCTCTTTGAAGCTCTGACTTAACCACCACTTGTATTAATGAACATGTTTGCATGAGATGAAAAGATAATTTGTGATTCTCTCTTCTGGTCTCAGCCCCTTTCAAGATCTACGTGGACTGTGGTGCATGGACATGCCATGCACAGCCAGTTTTACAAATGGCATCAAGAAAACTGGTTGCAGGCTCGGATGTAGCTCACTGGTAGAACCCTTGCCATGCCTGGTCTGAACTGAAGTTTTCTGAAAACACTGTGGTTTCTCTTCTTTAACACACTAGTGTTGAAGTCTGGCAGACTAGACTGGGCCTACATGATTGATGGAATGTTGTAGAGCGAAAATCAAAGTTATCTTGGACTATCTTTAGTCATATTACTAACTACTTACTTCCCACCTTCAGAATCTGACCTAACATGTTTGTGAATATTAGGTAAAACCTTTGGAATGTACTGCTTAGCAGAGTGCTAGCTTCCAACCATAAAACCGAGTGTTATAATCACATCTAAAACCTGTAGCTACTTCTCCACTTTGCTTTGTCCTTCCTATCTGATATCCCCGCCAAAGTATTTGATAAATACATTCATTTATTTCTTTTGTTCTGAGACTATAAAAATTAATATGCCCTCTCCTGCAATAGAATGTCATTCACACCTACCTGAAATTATGTTCCCAGACCCTGCTTATTCGTATTTGGCCCAGAATTGACAATCTCTTGTTCCTTGAGGGTTAAGAGCTGTCTTTACATCAGCACTAACAGGCACCATGTCTGTCCTAGGTTGCATTCTCAGATCTACAGAAAGGAAACACTAGCAACAGAGAGAAATCATGTAATGGTTTGGAGTCCCAGTTTCCTAGGACAACTGTCAAGAAACACAAGCCAAGGGCGTATAGGACCAGAGTGGAGCTCAGGGTTACCACATTTCCCTAGCGTACAGGAGGGCTCAGAAATGCCAAAGCTATCCCTGTGGCTGCTGACGTTATGAAGACCTTCACAAACCCCCAGACCCTGAGCTGCACATTAGAGTGTGCATGCTGCTGTAAGGCCAGGACTAGCTCAGAAAGCCAAAGTTCAAGGCCCACCCTCTAGCCAAGGCAGGCTTGCAACTCTGGCTCCACATCCAGTCTAATTCTGCCTCCAGTTCAAACTCCCAAGGGTGCCCAGCCCCTTCAGTCTCCTTAATATAGACCTCTGGGTTGACCCCTAGACTGCCACAGGCTTGTTTGCTACTTGTACAAACTAACTCTACACAGGATTTGCCAGCAAGAATAAAAGAAAGAAACTGCACTCTTCTTAGATCATTGATCAAAGACCTCAAATTATTGTGGCCAGGCATGGAGGTTCCCTCAATGCCCCACTCTGATGACCTGCCTGGGTAGAAGCATCCTTTATATTTGTGGTTTACTAACAAGAGTAGCGGAACTTCCAGGAGACCAACTCAAACAGTGGCACCTTAATGTTTTTTATTATTATTATTATTATTTTGAAGTAGTCTGCATACTTTTAGAAGCGAGACATGGTGTTCCTAACTTGAAGGCAGTTGTACAGTCAGGCCCTTTTGATGTGGCTTTTTTGGGAACAAGCAGTAACAGATCTATTTTAGTAAGACTGTAGCTCTTGGCAGACCAGGTACAGCAGTCTCCCCACAAAAATTTTCTTAAATTAACTAAACTAGCTTTAGTTTGTATGATTATATATGTGTGACACACATAAAATTAGAAATAAGTAGCTTGTAATTTGCGTTTTACCCTCCTTGGATTTGATGATCATTTTTGATAGATGTAAATATTTAAAAATACCACACACTGGGCTGAAAATAGTGAGATGTGTGTGTGTTATTAAAATCAAAACGAAAAATAGACAACATCCTCTATCCTTTTTAGGATGGTCCAAAACTCAATAGGTAGACCAGGCTAGCCTCAAACTCCCAGCCAGCCACAGTGATCACAGTACTGGGATTGAGGTGTACACCACCATACCTGACAACAACTCCTCTTTTAAAATGTTTACTCAATTTAAGAATTTTCATTACAAATTTCATTTCTAACTCAAGAAGTGACTAAAAGCAGGTAAATATGTTAGCCCCGTAAAACTTTAACAACCTTGAGGAAGAGGACTAATGATGCAATCAATCTTCTGGGTTTGCTGTTGCCATCAGTATGAGGGAACTGGACCCTGGGCCTGGGGCAATTCAGATAAGTGCTCTACCACTGAGCTATGCCCCATCCCCCCTGCTGAGGCTTTTTGTTTATTAGGTTGGTTGGTTTTTGGTTTTTGGCTTTTGTTGTTGCTTTTCATTTTGGTTTTCGAGACAGGGTTTATCTTCGTAGTCCTGTCCTGGAACTCACTCTGTAGACCAGGCTGGACCCGAATTCAAGAGATCCACCTGCCTCCCAAATGCTGGCATTAAAGGTGTAAGCCACCACTTTAAGAGCACTTTCCCATCAGCCTGGTCCCACAGTCTCTTCAGCCCCAAATAACACACAGACACTCTATTAGACATCTCCCATCACATCACTGCCTAGCTCCCTCTGCTGAATTTTAAATATTACTGATTTTTTTTCCCCTATGCTCTTCCTGTATGAAGCTCTTGGGACCTGTGTTGGTTCACAAACTTAGACACATCTGGGATGAGGGACTCTTTATTAAGAAAACACCCCCTCAGACTGGCCTGTAGGCAAATCAGCGGTGATGTTTTCGTCTATGGTGGTTTATTAAGGAGGACCCAGTTCACTGTGGGAGGTGCTACTCTATGCAGATAGTCCTGAATTATATGAGAAAGCAGGCTGAGCACACTATGGGGAACAAGCAGCCTAGTGGTCCTCCATGAGGCCTGCTTCCTTCCGTTCCTGCCTGAAGCTCCTACCCTGCCTTCCCTTAGTGGTGGAGTATGACATGAGAGTTAGAAGACGAAATGCACCCTTACCTCCACAAGCTGCCTTTGGTCATGGTGTTTAACACATCAATAGAAAAGCAAACAAAGACAGAAATTGGTACCAGAGAGTGAACTATTACAGTGACAGATCTGGCCATGTTGTTTGGGGGATTATGAAGAACTTTGGAAGTTTGCACTGAAAAGGCCATTGAATAAACAGAACTAAATGAGCTATTGTGGGAGCTTGGAAGAGAAAATAATGCTGAGAACAGTAGCAATGATG